TCTGCCATCTTGAAAGTGAAACCTGCAGTCAAAATTCTAACCACCTTAGCTGATGCTACATGGAGCACAGATAAGTCTTTTCAAACAAATTGAAGAGTCATATGTTAAATAAATGATTGTCATGGTTTTAAGCTACTAATTTTTAAGGTGGATTGTTGTGTAGTACTTAAACAAAAATTAATAAATGGATATTTTAACTGTGATATATTTTCATATTTGTGCCTGTGCATGTATGTTTGTCTGTCTGTCTGTGCACCTGTGTGCATTTTAAAGCAAAGTACTGAGAGGACTAAAAAGAGGACTGCATTACTTCTTCTTAATCACTGAATATAGTAGTTCTGAATTTATTTTCTAAAATCAGCCCAATGCTGATCTCATTCAATCCCATTTAACTGATGAGTAATTCATACTCAATCTCTTTGGGGGATCTCCCCCAATGTGTCACAATCAGAGTTGTCTTCAATGCCAAAGACTGCAAAAGCTGTCTTTGGATGAAATAAATTGTTGTTTCTATGAGTGATATATCTAATTGTATACATACTGGAATTCTTTTCTTCACTGAATCATTTACTCATTCACTTAACAGACATTTACTGAAACGTTGTTATGTACTTATTGTGGTTGACACTATGCTAAGCACTGGGTATGAATAGGTGAGCTGGACTCCTTCACAATTAGGTATTAAGAACATGCTCCATAAGGCCCAGTGTGGTGGCGCGTGCCTATAATCTTAGCACTTTGGGAGGCCAAAGTAGGCAGATCACTTGAGCCCAGCAGTTTGAGACCAGCCTGGGCAACACGGTGAGACATGGTCTCTACAAAAAATAGAAAAATTAGTCCCAGCTACACAAGAGGCCGAGGTGGGAAGATCACCTGAGCCTGGGGAGGTCGAGGTTGCAGTGAGCCAAAATTGCACACTACAGGCCAACCTGGGAGATAGAGTAGCATCCCATCTCAAAAAAACAACAACCACAACAACAAAAAAACATGTCCTATGGTCATAAAATAACTGGAGTTCTGCTTACTGAGATAACTTATGTTTTACCACATAGAATCCCTTTAGGTTTGTTGATTCTACCATCTCTGAGCCATGTTCAGAATATTTAGTGACTCTGGGAGCCCCTACATTTAGGGTCAGTCTTCTCATGTACTTCCTGCAACCTTCCCCTTGGAGAACTTACAACCTCTCCTCACACAAATAAGTATTTTTTAAAAAAAAATCTTGCCCGTATGATGATAACAGATGAATATTTGTTGAGCTTACACTCTTTATGCTAATCTCCATTCTAAGTTTTAAAAATGTGTTATTATCTCATTTAATTCTCACCAAAGCCCTGTAAAATAGGTATAACTATTCCTATTTTTCAGACGAGCAAACTAAAGCATGGAAAAGGTAATTCTGTTTAAGGTAGATATTAAGTGATAAAGCCAGGAATTGGACCCAGAAACTATCTGCAGATGCATTCTCAAATACTAAGCCATACTGCTCTGTTGTCTTATGGAAGAATAAATATTTGGAACTTTCCAACAAATGTATCACATTTAATTTTTATGTTTCATTTGACTAATGTAAAATGTAAAACCATAAGTCAAGAGATCATAATTTTCCAGTCTTAAAAATACAAAATACTGTGTGCTTACACATAAGGGTTTTTTTTGTGTGTGTGTAATTGTTCCTTTAGTTTTATCCACTATTCTTACAAAAATATATTAGTTACAAGCAAGTGGTGAAAAAGAGGCAATCATCTAGGTCACATGCAGTGAAAGGCAGCTAACCAAATGACATATTCCTAGAGGTCAGTATTGAATCTAGGTCTATGCCCTTGCACATCTCTTACAGTCGTTCCTTCTTGAGCTTACTAACTTGGGCAATGTTATCTTCTTAGAGAAGATTGAGAATCTACAGTGGCTCCTTTTCACCTATAAAATCAAAGCCAAGTAGGGAATTCAAGTATCCGATTCAACTGGCCCCTAACTTATTCCTTATTACTCCCACTACACATTTCTATGCTATTGCATGCCTTCAATATATGATGGAAATTGCTACATCTGTACATAATGCTCTTCATCTACATTATTTGCTTTCATGTCCTTTAATATTGTCCACCCTATTTTCATTTGGAAGGGACCTCTCCACCAAAACCATTTCATGGCCAGCACTCCATAGACCTTTCTCTTTTTCGATAAAAGTCCTGGGCCCTCTCTTTATTCCAGCCTTTGTGAATGCCTTTAAACCATTTCTGCCTGTATTCAGACCCTAACTTTCTAGCTCTCTCTTCTGCTCCTGACCCATCTTTTGGACTGCCTACACTTAGGCATAATGACCTGTCCATAATGGTTTCACAATTTCTATCAGCTTTATGTCCTGGATCTGGTTTACAGTTGTGCTTTGGTTTGACCAGCCTCCAAAACAACTCTACCCAGTAAAGTGGTTTTATCCTCTTTGCATGTGGGATTGGATAAATCTATACCATATTCTTTTCCCTCAAGGTCCAGCTCGAAAGTTACCTATTCAGAGAAACCATCCTATATATTCTACCTTGCAATAATCCTTCCTTTTCAAGACATTCCATCAGTTCTTACTTACTCACATTGTATAACATTCTCTTGAGCTCCTTTGGATACCTTTGTGGTTGTTCAGTGGGCATTATGTAAGTGCTGGTCTTATTTTCTCTGAACACATTGTGTATTATTTAACAGCACAGACATGTTCTTCTACTTTTTATTTATGCTTACTTTCCTTGACTTTGAGATAAAATAGCTTCAGTTTAGGCACAGATGTTCCATAACTGCCTCTTGAGTGGAACAGAATAAAATTCCAGATCATAAAACTTTAACGGTCCCTTACATAGTCAGTCTTGGTGTAAAATTCAACAGGTGGACAGAAGAAATGAAAAAGGGGAATATTAGAATATAGGGGAGCTTTTCCAATGAAAATTTCTTCAAAATTCTAATATATCTTAGAGGTCCTTCTATCCTCATTTCATTAATAATCATTGCCATACTACAAGTATTGCTATTAATAGAATAGCTCCTATCATTCAAGAGGGTTGAAGCAGAACAAATAACCATTAGATTATGACAGCCATTGAATAAACTATCTTTACAATTAAGTCTTTTTAGAAAATAATAATGACAGCCAGGTGCGGTGGCTCACGCCTGTAATCCCAGCACTTTGCGAGGCTGAGGTGGGTGGATCACGAGGTCAGGAGATCAAGACCATCCTGGCTAACACGGTGAAACCCTGTCTCTACTGAAGTACAAAAAATTAGCCGGGCATGGTGGCAGGCACCTGTAGTCCCAGCTACTCCGGAGGCTGAGGCAGGAGAATGGCATGAACCCGGAAGGCGGAGCTTGCAGTGAGCAGAGATCACGCCACTGCACTCCAGCCTGGGTGATAGAGCAAGACTGCGCCTCAAAAAAATGAAAACAAAGGCCCAACTAATATGGATTTCACAGGTTGCAACAATAAAGGGTTTTTGGCTTGTCTAATTCTGGGGTAAAATATTTTTCTAGATGCACACAAATTGGGAATAAACACATATTAAATCTATTTGCCTGCACATTATTTCCCGAGATACAAATTTCCTTTCCTTTCAAATAATAATTTACATGAGTAGCTTACCCTTCTGTAGCACTTAGTAGAGTTAACGTTTTGCTTTATAGGAATTCAATAGACATTATAATGGCAAAAGCTTTCTACTACAAAACAGTCACTAGGTTCTTTCAGAGATATTATCTCATCCAATCCTCAGAAAAACCACCTGATATGTTAATACCCTCCTTTTTTTAGAGGAGGAAACTAGAGATAAATGAGTTTAAATAAATAGCCAAAGTTACAGAGTAGTAAATGGCAAAACTAGGAGCTAATATCTGTTTTTTAAGTCCAGACTTAGGCAGATATTTCACAAGTACTTATTATATAATTGCAAAATATTTAGGGTTTGATAATTTATATAATTGGATTTAGACCTTTACTTCATAATTTTAACTTTAAAATGAGACTACGTTTTAAATTAAGGTGAATGGTAGCTTTTAGAGAAGAGGTTACATGATTACTATTCTATTTTTTAATCTATTATTGTTTGTATATAAATTTTAGCTAGAGATGACTTTTGAGCATCGTTGGCCAAGAAGTTTTGGTACTACATACTGGTTGAAATGTGTGTGTGTTTTTTAAAACTTTTCAAGGCATTTTAATTATTTCTTCCAAATAAAAGGAGAAGTATAAAGGAATATTTCTCACAGTAGTTATTAAAAATCTCAATTGCTGTTTCATCACTCTTCTGTGAATGGATCTTTTGTGTCAGCCACCAGAAGAGTTACCATCATAAGGATCCAGTACTGAGTACTTTCACAGGCATTCTAAAATCAGAATGGTGATTACAACTAGAAAACAAGTGAAGTTCACGTTAGAAGTCATTTGTAATAGAATCGCAGAATGTTGAATTCATTTAAAATTATGGAATTTGTGTAAACAATGTTGTCATTTGTTTTGAAGTTTATCTTTTTATGTAGAATATTGAAACTCCTATTAAAACAGCCATCATGGCCCTGTCACCAACTGCAGGAGTAACTCTAAGGCACAAGGTATTGTGGGATGGGAGAACCAAGGATCATAGTCAAAGCCCTTCTCTAGATGAGCACTGTGAACCGGGAGGGTGATAACTATATCTGTGTCTGAGACAGTCCATCACAAAGGTTCCAGGCTGGGGGCAGTGCTATAATTCTTTATAGCTGTCAGAAAATAGTTCAAGAAATCTGCACCAATCTGCTCTCCCACATACAACAGCACTTGTCCTCGTGTCTTGAATCTGCAAAAATGAAGAACCAAATCCCTTGATCACACAGCCAAGTGGTTTGAATATTCCAGTTCTGTTGTTCTTTTCTTCTGCTTGAAAAAGGCCTTGTCAAATCAGAATGAAAAGAATGTTTTGAAGCGTGAGAAAATTCAAATTTCCTATGTAAAGCCTGGAGTTCATTAGCAGGAGTATACTTACTCATTTCAAGGGTCACTGGGTTATGGTGAAGAGCCTGTCTTTCTGCTACCCAAGTCTCAAACTCTTCACCTGAAAACAGTTTAGAAATGCCTTTAAGTCCATTAGCTTTCCATGGAGCCTAATTCGACTTTGTTGTGCCTTGTCTTGTGACCGTGTCAAGTCAAAGACCCTGCTTTGATTATGTGCTATTCCTTTTTCCTTAATCACTTTTCAGTTAAGTAATTGTCTCAATTTAATTGGTTGTAATGATTAAAAGTTTATTTATATTACACTGAAGTTTTCTTTTTTCAATCCCTTAGGTTCTATTTTATTATTTACAGCTCAATACAGAAATGCTACCCAAAGAAATAGTCTTTTTAATTGGACTTTTTAAAAATTAGACTCTTTTTATTGTATATGTGCTAAAGCTAAAATCTAAATTCTGGCAAATAAGAGAAATTATTTATTCTTAATATTACAGTTAGACTTGCAACAGGCATTTTATATTATAATACTGAGAGGTACAATGTAACAAGTATTGGCTTCAGAGACTAACAGACCTAGGTTTGGATTCTGCATCAAGACTTGCCAGTCCTGGGACCTTTCTGAACTTAAACTATCATTCCAACCCTATGCAGATTGCCTGAAGATGACTGATGTGTGAATAAGCACAAGATTTAAATCTAATGGTAGCTATTATTTGTTTTAGCTTTGTCACTAACCAACTATGTCACTTTGAGAGAGCTATTCAATTTCTCTGCTTCAGGTTCCTCTGATAAATAAGAGGAAAGGACTAGATACTTTCTACTATTTCTGTCAAAATTCAGGTAATAAGTAAACCCTTTTTATTGGTTTATTTGGGGGGTATAATTTTACATTAGTCAGGGTTTTTTCATGTTAAAATTTTCCCAGTGAGTAATAAAGGCATTAGTTGGAATTTGGACACTAATATGAGAATAAGTTGACAAAAACAAAATGGTCAGTAGGAAATGTTTTGATACTGAACGTTAGGACAAGAACCCAGAGCAAAAAAATCGCATTTACAAGACAAAAGCACAAAACTAGTAGTTCGATAATTTGGTTTAAAAACTTGTATTATAATTCTTTTTCAGACTAAACAAGTAATCTAGAAAAATTGCTGGAAAACTTTTATTGACCTGTTTAATCTCAGCTTAATCAACCTGTAGCAATGAGTACAGCAACATCTGATATCTACCTAGTTCTCTAAGTTCCCCTGGGGATAAAAAAGAGAACTAAATACATTAAATACGATCACTTCTATACTTGTCAATTATGTCTGTTTATAATACATGTGCAAAACTGTTTATCTGCTTTGCAGGGGAAACAGTTTTTTTAAATGACTCATAAGCTCTATCATCAATAGTAGTAAGTTTTATTTTTAAATTTGTTTTTACTTTGAAACAGCTACACTATTTTTCTAAGTATATTTTTCAAAAGCAGCTTTATTAAGTCATAAATCATGTTTAGTAATTCAAACCATAAAGACAGCAACACAAAATTTGAAACACAGAAACATACACTTTCTCATTTACAAACTGCATCAGAGGAGATATAAACACCCTTTCTCTTGTTTGTGAGTAAAAGGTCAAGACACAGAGCAGAAAAATTTCAAAACTAAGTGCTTATATAGATCTTTCCTTATTTTAAACCTATGTACCAAATTTGTAGCAAATAACTTTTATGTGAAAATCAGTATTGTAGATGGGGCTGAAGATATGGCTAACTAGGTTCCCACTAATAGTTTTTCTATGATAGAACAACTAACCTGAAACATATATTATGATAAATAATAACAATAATAAAATATAATAGCAACACTAATATCTGCATTCTGGTGAGCTTTTAATAACAGGCTGTATGACTCAGGACTTTCGTACATTATGCCTCACCTGGGAGTGTGCTTCTTGTATTAAATGGAGAAAATATGTATGTAAATATAGATAGTTTAAATAATTTGAAATTTTATGTAATAAAACCCATTTATCATGGTCAATTAACTCAAGAAAACTCAATACTGTTTAAAATGAGAAACCAACCACTTTTTAGACAACTAAAAGTATCAAAGTATGACTGACTTTAGAAAGGTGTCCTATTTTACTCTAAGTACTATGACATTTTGCAAAATTTCTCTAATTCTAATTTGAAATCCTCACCAAACCATGAAATTTTTTCAAATGTGGTTGTAACCTGTTACCTCCAAAGCATCCTTGAGGATATTTGCCACCACTCTTGTAACTCATTCTATTCCCTTCCCAACTACAGCAACACAACCTTTGAAACCTGGAAACATATACTTTCTCCTTTACAAATGCATCAGACGAGATGTAAACTCCCCTTCTCTTGGTTGTGAGTAAGGAGTCAAGACACATGGGAGCAGAAAAGTTTCAAAACTAAGTGCTTGTGTAGATCTTTCCTTATCTGAAACCTGTATTCTTCCAACAGTACAAAGCCTTGTTCCAGGCATGAAAAGAACCAACATACTGGTCACATTTCCAATTTTCGTATAGTAATCATCAGAGTCAGTGCTAAGGAAAAAAGAAAATAAGTTATATTATTTCTTTCTTATGCAGATACTTTGCACATTTATTTATATTTGCATTTTTATTTATTATTCTTACATGAATTGGGAAACTGGGACAATTAGGAAATAACAACAAGTAATAAAGCTACAGGGAAACTCCTCAACTCTTCTTAGGAAAACATACTCCCTCAAAAGAAGGTGTAAGATTAATTTAAACTCTTACATCCTGGGAAAAGGATTAACCTAGCATACCAGAACAAGAGGGAAGTGAAATGATCTTGAACTTTTCTTAAAGAACTTATCTTCTTTAGGATTCTCAGAAGAACTCAGGATTCTGTGAAAGTCTGACTACAGAATGACAAAGAAGAAACATTACCTTGTGTGACTATGCTTTCAATACAGATGGCTACAGAACACCAAAGGTACATTTCAGAAGGGAGAGCTAGGTACCTTATTACCAAGTGACAAAAAAGAAACCAAATATTGGTTAGAGATGGAGGAAGTGATAGCTGTGTAGCAACCAGGACATCCTGAGGCTTATTCAAGTTAGAAAGTGGCAGAATTGGCCGGGAGCGGTGGCTCATGCCTGTAATCCCAGCACTTTGGGAGGCCGAGGCAGGCAGATCCTGAGGTCAAGAGATAGAGACCATTCTGGCCAACATGGTGAAACCCTCTCTCTACTAAAAGTACAAAAATTAGCTGGGTGTGGTGGCACTCACCTGTAGTCCCAGCTACTCGGGAGGCTGAGGCAGGAGAATTGCTTGAACCTGGGAGGCGGAGCTTGCAGTCAGCCAAGATCATACACTGTACTCCAGCCTGGGCAACAGAGCGAGACTCCGTCTCAAAAAAAAAAATAAAAAAAAGTGGCAGAATTTCAACAAAATAGTGAAGAAGAATACAAAATGAATCTGTAGTCGAAGGTAAAAGAAAATGAAAGGAGTTGGACATGAAAGGTCTCCATTTGGTTGTTGGTATCAGGAAACACTACCGAAAATGATGAAATTGTATCACTTCAATCCTGAGTGAAATACACATGAATTTTGGGAACAACTTTCTCCAGAGAGAATCACACCTTCAACCTAATGGGAAGGAAGTAGGAAGTAATTCCACCACTGAGTAAAAGCTGAAAGCCTCAAAGTTTTATTTTGCTTTTACTGTGGGTTTTGGCTTGAGGATCTCAGCATAAAAGCAGTCCTCTATCTCTTTGACAGGCAAAAACTCAACTAAGAGGAACAATGACATACAGAGAGAACCATAAAACTAAACACAAAGGAAAGCTCTATCAATTTCAAGTGGCTACACGTTTTGCTGAGGCTCAACTCTGATTTTGCCTGGCCAGGTCTCAGGACCTCAGCATCACCCCCTGCCTCAGCCTGGTTGTTACCCTTTCTTCTGGGTGCCTTCTGCTTCTAGACCTTGAGAAGGTCTGGCAGACACAGCTTAGGAAACTGCCAAAGCAGAGCGGTGGTTATGCCGAGGATGTCACTGCAGGAGAAGAGGGCCTGGGCTTCTGAGCCACTGAGAGCTCTCAGGACTCGATCTGACATTCCTGATGCATCACACTGGAACCCTCTTCCTGCAGACACTGTAATCTGTCCTGTAAGTAAAATAAATAAGTTCAAAGCCCTCAAAGACAACAACCATGTGCAAAAAGGAAAAAGGACATGACTCTCTGAGCCAAGTCTTTTTTTTTTTTTTTTTTTTGAGATGGAGTCTCGCTCTGTCACCCAGGCTGGAGTGCAGTGGCGCAGTCTTGGCTCACTGCAAGCTCTGCCTCCCGGGTTCATGCCATTCTCCTGCCTCAGCCTCCTGAGTAGCTGGCACTACAGGTGCCCGCCACCACGCCAGGCTAATTTTTTTGTATTTTTAGTAGAGACAGAGTTTCACCATGTTAGCCAGGATGGTCTCAATCTCCTGACCTCGTGATCTACCCGCCTCGGCCTCCCAAAGTGCTGGCATTACAGGCATGAGCTACCGTGCCAGGCCACCAATTCTTGTATGTTCTATCTGGGACCAATGATCCCAGTTTGTTTCTCAAGCTCCTTACCCCCAATTCTTCCTACTCCAGGTGAAGAGCTGTCATTATTTTTCCTATGGAAGAGTGACAATCCCAGGATTTTGCCACCCCTACTTCATGGAGAAGGTCAGGATTATCTTCCTGGGCACTGAGTAGAGTTGGCTTTTTGTCTACAGCCTCATCTTCTTCACTTTGTAGTGGTGTTGAAGGTGTTGGAGGAACAGGGGGGCAGTGGGCCTCCATTTTCTCCTTCCTCCTTCTTTTTGTCCTTGTGGCCTTCTTATGATGCCTATACTTTTCGGGGAGTGGGTCTAGATTTCTCCTCTGGACTGGAAGCATGGTGGGATTTGTGAAACCTCAGCCACATGACTCCCAGGTGTCCCCTCCAATGGCTTTTTTGATGATTTCACACTTCTTTTCAGAGGGTCATTTTCCCATAGATAAAATCTCTCTTCTGCATCCGGAGATTCTGTTGATGTGCTCAAGTCATTGAGAACATGTCTTGGGATAGAGATTGGAGATTCCCTATCTCTGTCATTGATGGATTTTTTTGACTGACTATGGTGACCCCAGTCAACTTTGCAGGAACAAGGAGCTCACAAGGACCAAGAGTCAAATGCTGAAGGAAGTAGGAAGTACAGTGAATCTTTCAAGTGATGTATCCTTAGCTATCACAGATACAAAAGACGTACCGATCTCAGATTTCTCCTCTGGACTTACTAAAGGAGTTCAATTACTTCCAGAAATAGAGTCCTCAGGTTGTTCTTCTTGGCCGAAGAGATCTCACATTTCCTAAAAAGAGAGTCATTGAAGTACTTACTTCATGGACAATGGAGTCCCTTCTAGTCACACATAACCACAGTTCACAAAAACTCTACCAAACATCATAAATTCCTGGGTAGTAATATATTTAACAACTTATCAGAATGTGTATCAGAATTATCCAGGGTGTTTGTGAAAATACTCATTTATAAGCAGTACCCCAGACCTACTTGGAATCTTGAAAGCTGGATGTAAAGAATTTGCATTTTTTTTTCCTACTAATTCAGGTGATTTTTATGCATCCTAAAATTTGAAAACTACTGCTTTACAGGGACACTGAATCCAGTATTTTACAGGGCTATGAAGATGACTGTAAAAAAATACAAAATCTCACTCTCCCCTACAGATATTTCCCTAATCATGTCAGTCCATAAAGATATTTCTCCTCTAAAATCTTTTAAACATTATCACTTAATTTGGTATGTTATCCCTTATTACCTTCTATTTTAATTTAAGTTTGAAACCTTGTAGTTATATCTTCTAACCAGATTATAAGTTTCTCAAAGGCAGGGATGCTCTTAGACTTCGTGTTCCACTCTGGTATTAGGAGCTTAGTAAATTGAATGAATAAAAATATGAATAGGTTTATGTCCCAGTATAAAATGACTGACGTGAGATGACACTGCTCTGTAAGAAGAGTTCTAGAGTAACAATGTAAAGAGGACATGAGCCCTGGGAACAACCTAGTCCAACTCCCAAATTTTACAAATGGGAAAGATGAGGCTCAAGTGATAGAGTGACTTGCCTAAAGATGAGGTTGGTAAACCTTTTCTGTAAAGGGCCAGACAGTAAATATTGGAGGTTCTGTGGGCCATATGGTATTATCAGAAGTATTCATCTCAGTATTATAGCAAGAAAGCATTCGTAAACAATGAGTAAACAAATAGTCATAGCTGTGCGCCAATAAAACTTTATTTTCCCAAACAGATGGTGGTCAAGATTTGGCCTGCAGGCTATAGTTTGACAACCTCTGGCCTAAAGTCCTACAACTAGTTAGCCACAAAATTGAGATCAGAAGGCAAGTCACCTAACTCCCAGCAAGTTCTCTTTCTACAAAAGAGCAGAAGACTAGAATGAGAAAGAATGTTTCTTCAATGAAAAGAAGGGCTGTCAAAGAAGAGGTCAAAATATGCCTGGGCAAATAATACTTCTATGCTCTCTGATGATCCTTAGTCATTTAAACAACTAGTTAGCTAAATTCTGAAATTGGACAATTTTCAAACAAATTCATAGATTGGCCTTTAAAAGGATGAGGGAGGGGAGTTAGGCTCCACATTTTCTATCACACTTGCCTAGAAAACCATACTATTTAGTCTCTTTTTAAGCAATAGAAAAACCTACAGATAGATAATGGAAAATACTTTCTTTGCTCATCTTTCAAAATTACTGTGACCTGTGAATATGGCTCCACATTGCAGAGTCCAGGGATCAAAGTTTCAAGTAACTATCAGAGAAACATGAAAACAGAGATATGATTCCTAGGTTATCAAAGAAGCTAAAACTTTACTTCCTAGACCAAGATGCTCTTTAATAACAAAAGTCGTCAGAGTATTAAAGATTAAGTTGCCCAAAGTCTTGAGAGTATTTTTAAATTTGGGAATTTCTGAGAACTTTGAAGTCCACCTTGAACTTTCTGTTCTATTTTTACTCCACCTCTAATGTGTTCCTCACCTCATGCCATTAATTTGCCTTCACATAGTAAATGCTGAACAAATATTTGTTGACTTACAAATTGAAGGATTAGTGAATAAATGAACCAAATGCTTTGAGAAAGTTCCTTGGCTTGTGGCTATAGAGAATAAAGCAGGCCTGGCAATTTCTGCCAGAGGATGATATTCAGTGCTTTTTTGTTACCCTTCAGTGAAGCCAACAGTGCCTTCATATCGCAAATATCAATGAAAGTTTCATGAATGAATTAATACATTTGATGTAGGCCACTTCAGTTATAATTACCTGCCACAAAACATGGTATCAAAAGACCGAGTTTATTTACTAATATATTAACATGAAATTCTTTATATTAGTAATTGGGTTTAGTTTAACACTGTGAGGAAAGTTTGGTAAAATCTCTGAGAGGGAAAAAGGCCCATGTAATATGAGAGAATGCTGGCCCACCTTCTCTCTGTTCCCTCTATAAAGAGCAACTATAAGAGCGTCAACCACAGAAGCCCCCAAAGAGGTGGAGATAGGACTAAAAAGGGAGTCAACATAACAAATTCAAGCTTCAAAAAGTCAACCTGGCTTCTCCATCAGCTTAGCAATAGCCCTGAGTTAGGCCTGCATCATGCTTCAAGCGTACTTTTACAAGGTTCTACTCTGAGTCTGGCCTCTGTTCTCTGGAATCCACCCTCCATAAAAGAGCTAGAATGTATCTTTCTAAAAGAAATCTGATCATGTGACTCCTCTGACTAAAGCTCTGCTCCCTGCAGGTCCTTGATGATCTGATTCCATGCCATCTGTCCAACTTCAACTCTACCACTCACCCTCAGGTATCTTATGCTGCTGCAGAAACAGCTTGCCATTTCCTGAGAGCACCATACTTCTTTAAACATTAATCCTTTTACCTGCCATGTCCTTGCCCCGCTTCACTACCTGGCCTACCTATATTAGCATTTCTAAGAAAACTTAGCTGACTTCTTCAGGCAGAAAAAAACTGATTTATATTCTTGCATAACATTCTGTCCCTAAAGATACCATTCGACTGAATTATAATAAGGTGTTTAAATATCTATCACCTTCATAAGGCCTGGAGTTCCCTGAGGGCAGGAACTCTCTAATTACTTG